TTTTTTTTTTGGCGTATGGAGGATTGAACTCGGGTCCTTGCCCTTTCGCAGCAGGTGGCGAAACCACTGAGCTAAATCCCCGGCCCTATAATAACCTTTTGATTCAGATATTTGCCCTTCTCTTACGCTCCAGCACCTATGATAATAAGCACACTTGTAGGCTGATTTATTTTCCTTAGATGACATGCTATAAAAAGATAGCTACTTAGGGATTCAACCACAGGAACCATAATTGGCAGTAATAACAGTCGTTTATATTTTTATTCCAAAATGCTTAGTATCCGGGTAAAATTATAATAGTTGAGTTCACTACTCCTCTTACAATGCTAATGTTATTGATCTTCTCTTCTAGGTGTTCAACAACCAAAGTTTAGAGACCAAAACTAAAAAGGTATCTGGGCTAAGAAGGCAGCCAATATTTTGGCCCTGGCCCTCCAAGGTCAACAACAATACCAAAAAGATCCAGGACATGAGGGAACCATCTCCAAGATCCTGTATTTCTGTTGAGTCACCCAACCTCCTGAGCAGGGAGGTTGCTGAATACCAAAACAGTAAAGATACAACAAAAAGTGTCCCAAAGGAATGTCACCTGGAGGAAAAAAAATCTCCCATGCTTTCGCAGAAGGCAACAGGGTCAAGCAAGGCCGTGACATATCCTGATGGGTGACACTGACAGAGGAGCTAAGAGGCTCTATGCATGGTTCCCAGACAGTGCCTGAGGAGACTCAATCGACCTTGTAAGATAGCAAGAGGTTAATTTTATTTAACGTAAGTCTCACCATAATTTGGTCTTAAACACCCAGTCGAAAAGTAAAACAGAAGATTATATTTGTTTGAGTTCAAAAGTTTTAAGTTTTTTAGCCAACATTGCTTTAAAAAATTATTAGATTTTTAATCCTTTTACAGCCCCAATTAAGAGAAATTATGCTTATTATAGACAGCTGAGGCAGTCAAACACACTATAGATCCTCCCAATACATAGGGACAAGCCATTGTGGGGTGTGCTCACTTTTCCTGAAAAACACCTTCACATAAAACAAGAAGAAAGGGAGACATGTCAGGAGCAATGCTACATAATTTTAGGGAAAAATCATTTGGTTAGCCTAGTTCTCCTGCCTACAGCCCAGCTATGGAATTCCGAGATGTAATTCCATTTTGGCCACCAGTCACAACTGAGACCGCAATGATGCTGTGTTGCTCCAGGACAAGATTACGCGGGCTGAAGACATCCTGGGAGGAACCAAATCTTCATCTACTCAGTTCCTCATTGTTCTTGGATCGTTACATCTTGTTTACCCAGGATGTACTGAACTCTCTGCAAGTCATTTGTTACATTTGTTTCTCCCGATGGACTGAATAAAAGGTGCGCGGTAAACTGGGGACTTTCGTCTTTGCCGCCCAGAGCAGCGCTGATCAGACCCAAAGCTCAGCTTCTTCTCAGTCTCATTTTCTATACCTCTCCTGTATAATAAGTTAGTTCACCTTGTGCAGCTGTGGCTCGCAGGAGACTAGGATTCACTGCAGAGGTTCTAGTAACGTCCCCTTTCCCTGCTCCCTACACCAGAGGGCTGGGATTACAGCTGTGTGCCACCAAGCCCAGCTTGGGCAATATTTTAAAACACCAAATTTAACGCAAAAAAAAAAAATCCACGGTGAACAAAATATTGAAAGACTGCAATCCTGCAGAAGCCCTCGCTTGTCTCCCCTAGTCCAGGCCCTGTGGCGGGAGCGCGAATAACCGAGACGGTGCAGGTGGAGAAGAGGGCCGTCACGGAAACAAGCAAGCGCTGAGGTGCCAGCCAGGTGTCCCCCATCAGCGCAGTGACGCCTCGTTAGACGCAATTCTCGCCTTGGGGCCGGGTTGGGTTGCCGGAGTTCAGGGATTTCTCAGGCCAAGGTCTGAACCAAGGGCGGAGGTCGGAGGTCACAGGTGACCCGGGGAGGGGGTGGCAGGCAGGTGAGGCTGGAGCCCGGACCCCAGGAAGTGAGCCTGGGGAGAGCCCTGAGCGGATGTGGATGGGAGAGGGAGAGCTGGGGGCCCTTGGAAACAGCTCCAGGCAGGAAGGAACTGAAAATCTTCAGCACACATCCTTTTTTCTGGGGCGTGGGCAGGGGGACCCCTGTCAGTACCTGGCTGCCCTGCCCTGCCTGGCCGCTTCACGCAGAGCCCCCAGCTGGGCAGTTAACCCTCCTTTACCCAAACTTCAGTCCTGGGAGAGCCGACCACCTTCAGCTTTTGCTGAAACACTCCGGTTGAGGTTGGCCAGTCAGGGAAGCCCAGGGAGCTGGCGTGCCCTGACAGAGCCGGGACAGGCGAAGGAGTAACTAATGAGACAGTGTTCCCCCTGAAATGTTTTAGGCAAACACTTGGAACGCCTGTCCGAGGTGCTAAGTGCTGTGGCTCCAGAGGTGACCAGGAGACCAGATGGCCCCGCATGGAGCTGTCTGTGTCTCTAGGTAGAGAAACCTTTGCGAGGTGAAAGAGAAAGAAGGTAAGTAGGGGACCCTATAAGTGGGGAGGCCCCGCACAGCCGGATACTGGGTACCCAGAGGTGCGCTCTGCCCATGCCATCTCCTCTTCTAGACCATGAGGCATGGGGCATCTGTAGGGCCTCTGACACTGCCGCAGGGAGCAAAGACATCCTCCACCCCAGTGCACCCCAAACTCTGAGACTGGGCTTTCCAAGGCCAAACAACCCCAGAGGACCTCCCTGCGTGCCAGTGTTTCCCTGACACGAGACCCCTACCTGTGTGGCTGCTGAGGACAGGGGCTGTTCTCCCCACCATGGCTGCTATCTGCCCCTGCAGGATTCATCCCAGCTGCAGGCACTGAAGAGAGTGGGCGGCTGCCCCGAGCTCCTTTATGCCACCCTCCCGTCAGGGCCAGGCCCAAGCCGGAGCTGTGGGAGGGAAAGGCAGGCCAGGCAGCTGGGAGGGTGGGGCACTGGCATCCAGCCAGCGTTAAGGGACCTTAAGGGTCTGGGACCGCAGGGTGACCTGGGACCCGGGGCTGAGGCCCCAGGGGACTGGAGTCCTGTGCTGTAACTGCAGAGCTAGATGGGGGCTCCCCCCACCCCACAGCTGGGGATGGTGTGTGCGGCAGGAGTGAGCCAGGGGCAGATCCAAACCGGCTGGGCGCGGGACAGACGAGGGGCCGCTGGAGCCCTGGTGTGACCGTCACTGCGGCTGGGTCTGTACTGGTAGAAGAGGCCACTGTGCTATTCTGGTCACAACATTAGAACAGTGTTGATGCTCCAGCAAGGTCCCCATGGGAAGAGGCCAGGAGGGGGCTTGCCTGAGCCCCTTCCACTGAGGATGCCCCCAGTTGGATGGCAGCAAGTTGGCCAATCAGAGGCTGTGCATGCAGAATGGGCGGGTCACTGGCCTGGGAGGGGCCCTTGATTTGGGTCTCCAGGTAGATGCTGGGCATCCCTTCCTGGCATCTGAGGCCTGGCTGGCACCAGAGCTGGCCGGAACTCCAGGTTCTCTACCAAGAAGCCTCTGGACGGGTGAAGGAGAGTAGTGACTCTTGCCAGAACTCACCTGCCGACAGCCAGCCTGGGATTGGGGGTGGACAGGTTCCCAGTGTTCCCCTCAGCGGCCCTGAGAACAGTCACTGGGGATGCCCTGTTCCAGTGCTGGTCCTGGCAGGGGAAGCTGGGAGGTCTGGGGGCACAGGGTGCTTGCCCACAGTGATGCTTGAGCACTGCAGGGAGGAGCCCTTCCAGGTAAACAGCGAGGAGCCTGCTTATCTGAGCCGTCTGACGACAATGAGCTCACAGGCCAGGCTTGCTGGCTGTGGCCTGACGTGCAGCTCAGCATGAGGCCTGGGCCAGGACAGTCCTCCTCCCCACCCTGGGCCTCAGCTTCCTCTGTGCACTGTGGGTCTGAGCAGCTGGGGCAGTCAGGAAGGACCATGACCTCCAAGGGCCCTTCCAGCTCTATTTTTTCCTTTGTGGAACTGGGGATTGAACCCAGAGCCTTCTCTCTGAGCTACATCCTCCGCCAGATTTTACTGTGAGACAGGGTCTTTTTAAGTCACTAAGTCGCTGGGGCTGTGCTGGAAAATTTGATCCTCCTGCTTCAGCCTCCCACAGTGCTGGGATTACAAGCGTGCAGCATTCACTTTTTGTTTTTTCCCTTTTTAAGGTTTTTTTTTCAGTACCAGGAATCAAACTCAGGACCTCACGTTTCCCAGGCAGGCACAGCCCCACTGAGCAACATCCCAGGCCCTGTTTCCCCTTTTCTTTTTTTGTTTTTTGGTACCAGAGATTGAACTCTGGACGTTGCGCTTGAGAGGCAGGTGTGGTGCAACTGAGCTACATGCCTAGCCCTCGCTTTTTCTTTTTGATTCAGGGTCTTGCTCTGTTGCCCAGGCTGCCCTTGAACTCACAGTCCCCCTGCCTCAGCCTCCCAAGTAACTGGGATCACAGGTGTGCACTGCTGTACTCAGATCTTATTTCTTTCTTTCTTTTTTTGGGGGGGGAGCGGTACCGGGGATCAAACTCAGGACCTTGCACTTGCTAGGCAGGCGCCAGAACCACTGAGCTAAATCCCCGGCCCTACCCAGATCTTATTTCTAAGACCGTTCATTTTCTATCTTACTCTTTCAAAGCCTGCACTCTGTCCATGAGACTCTGGTGCCCTGTGTAGGAGATAAGGAGGGAAGTTGAAACCGATCAAATAAGAATTCACTTATGTTACTATCATTGTTATTTTCTTTTGGTACCAGGGATCGAACTCGGGTGCGGCGGAACCACTGAGCTACATCCCCGGCCCAGCCCTTTTTATTTTTTGAGACAGTGTTTCTGAATTGCCCAAATTGTCCTTGAATTTGTGACCCTCCTGCAGCTAAGATTACAGGATAGGGCACCATGCCAGATTTATATTTTAAATAATATAGGGCCAGGGATTTAGCTCAGTGGTTCCAGCGCCTTGCAAGTGCAAGGTTCCGAGTTCGATCCCCCGTACCAAAAAAACCCAAAAAACAAAAACTCTACGGTATATTTTAAATAATATAAAACATTTATTTCCTATGCAATAGACAATCATTACATTGTTTTCGAGTTCTGGGCTCTCATTTCACTGGTGGTTATCCATATTTTCATGCAGGCTTGGTTTTCTCTATTTCTCTCTCCTGTAGGGCTGGGATGGAACCCAGGGCCCAGTGCTTGCCTGGCAAGTGCTTTACACTGAGCTACATCCCCAGGCCCTGATTTGTTTCTTTGTATTTGCAGTCCTGTGGGAATTCTGCAATGCCTGTAGCTGTGGTTTGGAAAGCTTTTTTTTTTTAGTACTGGAGATCGAACTCGGGACCTTGTGCTTTTGAGGCATGCAGCGGAACCACTGAGCTAAATCCCCGGCCCCAGAAAGCTTTTGTATCTGCTTCTGCCAGGCTTCCCAGAGAGATTACCAGCCCAGAACCCTGTTTTCTTTTTTTAAAATAAAATTTAAAAAATATTTCAGTGTAGTTTTAGGTTTATAGAAATATCACAAAGTACATAGTATCTTCTAATTCTCTTAAGGTTGCTTTCCTTTTTAGTCTAGATGTTGGATTCATTTATCCTGGGCATCGTTAAAAAAGAGACCAGGAACGAAAGACTTTGGTCTTCAGGCTGGGTATAGCTCCACCTCTCCCTGGCTGCCCTTCCTCTCCTGTGGCGGCACCTGGAGAAGGCAAGTGATCATGCTTGTCTTGTTGGGTTCTGGTGGTGATTAGAGGTGACGTAGGGAGAATGTGTGGTGCACAGTAGCCGCTTAACACAGAACAGCAATTAGTGACAGGAATGCAGAGGCAGGAGGCGAAGTGACACGATGCTACCTGTCTTTGCAGCACGAGAAGTCAGGTGACAACAATACCAGTCGTGAGACTCAGGTGCACCTCCAAACTGAGATGCAGTGATTTGGTGGGTTCGTGTAGTAGTCTTACCTCTTCGGGCCCTTAACAGCCGAAACACAAACTCTGATTGTTTTTCCTCCCACTGGACAGGAGGGATAGGAAAGGATAGGAAGGTGAGAAAAGTAAACAAGTAGGGCTGGAGAAGTAGCTCAGTGATAACTGTGTGCTGAGCTTTCTCAAAGCCCTGGGTTCCATCCCTCCCACGACCAAAACAAGAAACAGGTAAACTTCAAGAATCCAGATCAACAAGGCTACCAATTTCAGGGAGAACCCTTGTGATTGTTCATCTTGATATATCGGCTGCATTGGGTCAAGAAATGCCTAGCGGATTAGTAAAGCATCCTCCTGGACGTGTCTGCGTGGTCACAGAGATAGGATCTGGGGAACTAGATCTGGGGTACTATCTGGGGTGCTATATAGGGTCCCTTGCCACTTCCTCTCTGCCACTGTTCCCTGCTCTGCTTCCTGGCTGCCATGAACTGAGCAGCTTTGCTCTGCCATGATGTTCCTGCTTTGGAGCTAGCTGTCCATGGACTGATCTCATGAAACCGTGGGCCAAATTTACCATTTCCTCCTTTATATTGTGGGTGTCAGGTAGTGCATCTCAGTGTCAGAAATCTGACTGATCGCCCCTGTTCCAAGAATTCCATCTCCCCATCTCTTTCCCTTCGGTTCCGTTGGGGTGGCACTCTCCTGGCTGAGACAAATCTGTGGTACCTGACAGTTCAGAATCCTCTGCCAGCTTTCAGCCCAGAGAACAGGGAGGCCAATGTTGTACATGCTCATCACCTTCTGCTGTGAGCCATCTGGGACCTCTTGCCGGGAGCTGCTGATGTGACTTGGTGCTGGTTGTGACACCTACCCTTTCCCATGCTCCTCTAAACTGCAGTAGCTGGAAGTCTGCAGACTACACTGTGCAGGGTTTTTCAATGAGACGAAGCAGGTAGGACGCCTGGAATGCTGGTGGCACTCCTGGCAGAGGCAGCTGCGTGGGCTCTGGGCTTCCTCCCCAAGCGGCAAGGCTCCAGGGGCAGCAGCAGTGGTGGCTGCGCATGGAACCTTTTCACACTGCCAGCCAAAGCAAACCTCTCAGTTTTCTCAGGCAGCTTACAGTGATGGGCAGCTGATGAGCACTCGCGCCACGGCCAAACTCACTGACCGCCAAGGGCTGTCTGAACTGCAGCCCCGTGCTATCAGCCTGCTGCGGTGAAGGAGCGCGCTGCTGTGGGCTGAGGACAGGGAAGCCCTCTAGGCCGGTGGTCAGCTGCTTGGGTTCTTAAGTCCCCCACAGCATGCAAGGCCCGGGGCTCACTGCCTCCCCCAGGGCCCTTCCATGGCCCTCGGCCCTGCCCGCTCCTTCCTGGATGGCGCTGCGGTACCACGGAGTCTCTTCAGTGTGCACATCCTCTCCCTCTTCCCGTCCTCTGCTGGGCAGGATGGCACCTTCTCATCCTCCACACCTGACAGATGGGGGCCCAGCAGCCACCACAGCTGCCTGAACCCCAGAGCTCCCTTTACTCCTCTGGATGTGGAGGGGGATGGGGGCAGTCGTCTTCATCTCTTGGCCCAGAAAAGCATGCATATGCAGAGTCAGCCACAGTCCGCTCTTAAATACTTAATTCCCATTTATTTAAAGTTCTGTCAGTCTGTGTACACTATTTATATTAAAAACATAGGAAGCTGGACTCCTAGCAAAAATATACATTTAAGTATTGGAGACTGCGGAGACACTGAGGTCCACAGCCCTCAGCACAGACAGGGCAGGGCGGTGGGGAGGGGTCGGGTGCTGCCCTCCTTCACAGCTTTGGCCCAGAGGGCAGCGCCCCAGCACGAAGTCAGCCCAGCCAGGGCAGGGGTCAGAGAGCCAAAGATCTCCTAGAGTGGCCCTGGGACACAGGTGGCCACCAGGCTGCCAGGGACAGAGGTGGGGCCTGTCCTGTCTGCAGGTCATTTCCCCCCAGAGTCCTTGGGAAGGGCCAGGCAGGACACAAGATGCACAGGTTCAAACCCTGGTTCAGATGTTGCCTTGCTCTGAGGCCCCAGCTGGTCCCACACCCCTGCGAGGTTTGGCGGGGCCTCTCACAGATTGCAAATCCCAGGCTGGGCTCTGTCCCTCCTGTGAGGTGACTGGACCTCCACCGGGGGCGAGGTGGCTGGCCTGAGCCACAGTACCAGCCCGCATGGTCCCGTCACCAGAGGCTATGCAGAAACAGTTCCTAGGGATCAGCTTGCTGGAAACGGAAAGGGGAGGGCAGTGGAGCTGCTAGACAGACAGGCCAACATGACCCTGGCAGCTCGTGCTGTGTGGACCCCTGCCCACTTGGACCTGCCTGGCCCTGGGGACAGTGGCTGCCTGGCACCCACCTCTCAGGGGGAAGGGGCAGGCACGGAGATTCAGGTAAAGTGATCGCAGTGCAGTGCAGGGTGTGCATTGGCCCAGTGTCTCCTGCGGGCAAAGGGGGTGAATGTCGGGCTCAGCACTGGGTGCTGACACAAGGGGGTGGCTGCTGCCAGGTGGGGAGTGGGTGCCGATGGAGGCCTGACCCATACTCCCTGGCCTCTGGCGCCACGACTCACAATTAAGTGTGCTGTTCCTTGCAACCAGCCTCTACCTCCCTCTTCAGTGGGGTGTGGGGCCCCACCTGGAGGAACCCTGGCTCCATCCAGGCTGGGGAGTGGCCAGCGCAGGGGCCACCAGCCCCGGTGGTCTAGAAGACTGGTGCAGAGATCAGAGGGTCACAGGGTAGGAGGTTGGGAGGCGCTGAGTCTAGGGCCAGCCTTGGACAGGGGCCAGGGAACACTGTGTGGACGCATCTGGGTCTCTCCCTTGTGCCCTGCCCACTGTCCTCTGCAGAGGGACCCAGTGATCACAGGCTGGTGCTGCTGTAGGTCTAGGCTAAGCTTCACCTAGAAGCCGGGCCCAGAGAGCGTAGTGTTTCTTTGGATGGCTCCAGGATTCAGACTGGAGACGGGCTGGGGATTTAGCTCGGTGGTGTCGCCGCCTAGCTTGTAAGCTCAAGGTCCTGAGTTTGATCCTCAGTACCCCGCCCCCCCCCCCCAAAGGTGTGTTTTCCAGACTGGAGGTGGTGGAAGCTGGTCAGGGGGCGGAGCCTGAAGGTGGGCGGGGATGAAGGTGGGTGTGGCCTTAAGAAGGCGGGTGAGGCAGCGGGCGGGGAGGTGGGAGAAGAGGCCCCCTGGTGAGATAACAGAGCCGGTCTCAGGCTAGAGAGGCAGGGAGGGCAGGGAGCAAGAAGGGAGACGGAGACAGGGGCAGAGGGCAGAAGGCAGAGCTTGAGAAGCTGGGGGAGCAAAGCAAGGGAAGAAAGAGAACACGGGGAGCCAGGGCGGCGTGTCGGGGCGTGTGGGCGTGTGACCCGCGCAGGGCTGGCCTGAGGGCTTGCGGCGTCCCTGGCGGGGCCCCTCAGGGCCTGCAGAGGCCTGGGCAGTGGCTCAGTACATGTCCTTGTAGATCTCCTGCAGCAGTGGGTGCAGCAGGGTCTCGGTCTCCGTCTTCTTGATCCACTGCATCATCTGGGCGTGCTCGGTGACCAGCTGCCGCAGGTCGGCCATCTTCTGCAGCAGCTTGGGGAAGAGGTACTGGGCGTCGGGGTGGTTGACCTGCAGGTGGAACTCCAGGGCGCGCAGGATGGTGTCCTGGATGGCCTCCACCTGAGGCACGTTCACGAGGCCCGGCCGGTCTATGGGGACACGGACACGCGGGTCTCAGAAGGGCAGGGGCGCTCCTCGGCCCCACCCAGCCCCGTCCCGTCAGTGACTACCACTGAGTTCTGGCCTCAGCCCCTCTTTCGTGTCCTGCCAATAGCGCTTTTCCTGATCAGGGAAGGGAGAAGGCACTGTGGTTCAGAGACTCTGCCTGGGCTTAAATCCTGCCTCTCCCATAGGCTACCCGGAAGGCCCTGGGAAGGTCACCCGGGCTCTCTGGGCTTCAGTCTCCTCATCTGTAAAATGGGGATAAAATAAAAGAACCTCCAGCCTGGGGCTGCTGGGAGGACTGAATGAGTTATAATTATGAAAAAGAACTAGAACAGTGTGTGGCCTGAGGTAAGCTCTATGCCACCGCTGCTGAACAGGCTTGTTATTCAGTTGGGATCTGAGAAATGCAGGTGAAATACAGGTTTGTCCACCACCCACGGAACCCCATGAACACGATGGTTACTTTCTTCCACCTCCATCTGTGTAAGGAGATGGAGCCGATCCTGCATGCGCAGCAGCGCCGGGGTCCCAGGCGCATCCCCCACCGTCTGGGCTCGGGACATCTGCGGCTTACCTGCCCTGGGCTCGCTCACCTCCACACAGAATGATCGCCGCGATGAACAGAGCCAGGTCACTGTCGTCCAGTTCCAGGGCATTGAACTTGACAGCAAACTCAAACTTGGGCTCGAGGATGTCACTGAAGGGCTTACGGAGGCTGCGCAGGAACTCATGGGTGACAAAGCCACTGCCATTGGCCACCAGCAGCCCCTCTTTGTTGACGATAGAGGCCAGCATGGCGAAGATGGCCTCGTGCACACCATATTTGAGCAGGGTCACCTGGTCGTTGAGGAAGAGGCTGCTGAAGTTGGGGATGCTCTTGGCGAACTCAGTGAGCTCGCGCACGGTCTCCACCGTGGTGCACTGGCAGCGGTAGAAGACGTGCACGCTGATCTCCTTGTAGGGCGGCAGGCCGTTCACCAGCTGCTTCCACACCAGGCCCTTCTCTGCCTGCCACAGTGTCTCGATGTCGTGGATCACAAAGGGCTGAAAACCAGGCCCCATCAGAGGCCAAGCCTGGGGCCCCAGCCCGTGCTCCCACACCCCCGCCTGTGCCGTGGAGTCAGGGCTGCCCAGTCTGCTGCCAGGCAGTGCACTCACCGCTGTGTGGCTGGACTTGCCGGTGAGGATGCTGCGGGCCTTCTTCTTGGTCATGTTGAAGTTCTTCAGGTAGGCGTTGTAGATGTGCTTGGAGAAGGCCCTCAGGTCAGCCAGCTGCGGGCTGTGCTGCTGCTCTTCTCTGGCTGTCAGCCCCGCCACCAGCTTCCTCTTCTCAGCCTCCGGCATCCGGCCAAAGCGGATGGCTGCAGAGGGCCAGGGACCGTGACTGAGGTGCCAGGCAGGGCCCAGCACCCTGACCTTCCTGTCTCTCCTCCTTGGGGACACGGCTCATTGATGGAGACCTAATTGTGACCCCTCAGAGGCTCCAGAGTGAGCAGGACAGCACTGGTGTGGCCCCTCCAGACCTCAGCTCCACCAGGGCAGGGCTCTGTCTCCCTCACAGGGTCCTCCCTTGTCGACTGACCGGGCCACCTGGCTGGGAGGTGACACAGCATGGCAGGGGAAGACTTGCTCTGCTGATGAGGTCTGTGCCTCGGCTCCAGCCCGGCACTGTACATGCAGTGTAGCCTGGATGGGCCGTCTCACCTTCTTCCTCGGTCAGGAAACGTGAGCTGGCAGCTTACTTAAACCCACAAACCTTACTGGATCACTGCAACAACTACATGAAAATGTTTCCTGGAGCCCCAGCTACCAAAAGACTGAGGTGGGAGAATCGTGTGAGCCCGGGAGTTTGAGACCAACCTGGGCAACAATCTCAAAAAAGAAAAAACAGGATAGGAATCTGACTTCTGTTACAAAAAGGGTGAGGAAAGGATTGTCAGCCTGACACTTCCTAGGAACCCCCTAAGCCACCAATGGAATGGGACCAGGCAGATAAAGACTGAGGGGGAAGGGTCAAACCCCAGGCCTGCCAGAGCCCAGGAAAAGCCGCAGATGGGGTCTTGGGTCCCACTACCCACTACCATGCAAGACAGCTGGGACATCATGGGCAAGGCGGCCCCGCAGCTGACCGCCATGGAGACATTTAAACAAGAGGCTCCCCGTCCACTAGGGTCTGACCTGGAGGTACAGAGGGCCTGGGTGGCCCCAGGCTCCGCAGGAGGTCCAGAGCATGAGCAGGGAAGGCTCAGCTTCCTGGGAGTGCCAGGCTCCTGGCAGCTGGCATGTGTGGTCACTTACTGACCCCTGCTCCCCTTCAAAAACCAGTGGCTTTCGTGCCGTGTCAGGTCACTTGAGAGAGGCTGAGTCCCAGGAGCCGTGTTCCCAGCACTTCACCCAGGTGTCATCAGACAGCATGGGTGTCTGGAGGGACATTTCTTCCCTCATCAGGGCAACACTCGGGAGCTCAGGACAGGTCTATTCTCAGTTCCCTCTGGCCAGAGCAGGTGGCCACAGGTGCAGAAAGGGGGTGACTGCCCAGGCCTGGCACCCACAGCGGATACTGATGGGCAAGGGAAGTGAGAGGTGTTAGGCACCAAGACCCAGGGTCCAGGTGGGCAGGGTCAGCAGCCAATGCTCGCAGTGCTTTTTGTGCGCCCGGCACTGCTCCGCAGGGACCACGCCCCGCCCGGCCGGGCTCTCACCATTGTGCGACATGCCCAGGGCCAGGCATTTCTGGAAGCGGCAGTACTGGCACTTGTTGCGGTTCTTTTTCTGGATCTTGCAGCTCCGATCGCACTTCTCATACTCCAGCTTCATACGGATGGTGCGGCGGAAGAAGCCCTGCGGGAGCAAGAACAGGTGAGGAGAGGCTGCCGGGAGGGGTGGGCTGAGGAGCCTGCTCTGCCTGCGGGGCTGTGCCAGGGGCCAGGTGCCCCAATGGAAACGCTGCTGAAATCTGGAAGTGACAGGGAACATATTCTGAAAGGGAAAGGAAGAAAGTAGACTCTAAACCTTTTTTATTTTTTGATGGCACTGGGGGTTGAACCATGGGCACTGTACTTACTATTGAGCCACATCACAGGGTCTCGATAACTTACCAAGGCTGGGCTCAAATCTGTGACCCTCTTGATTCAGCCTCCCTCAGTGCTGGGATAGAGGTGTGCACCACCACACCCAGCTCACAGACTGTTTCATTAAAACCACATTTACAAAATACACAGAGCCAGACACATTTATGAATACATCAAGTTGGTCACCATACAGTTTTATGTTACCAAACTAATAGCAGTTTTAAGACTGCTTTGGGCATGGAAAGTAAATGTGGTATATAATTTTAATTATTTCAGAAATTTAGGCTGTGGTGGTACACACCTATAATCCTAGCACTTGAGAGGCTGAGGAAGGAGGACTATAAATTCAAGACCTGCTCAAGCAGCTTATTGAGACTATGTCTCAAAATTATGGGTAGCTAGTAGGGCGGGGATGTAGCTCAGTAGTAGCGTGCCCTTAGGGTCCAGCCTCAGTATCACATTAAAAAAACAAAACAAAAAGGAAGCTTTGTGAAGCTGTGAGACATGGTCTCCCTATGTAGTCTGGGCTGGCCTCGAACTCACAGCAGTCTTGCCTCAGCCTCCCAAGTGCTGAGATTACAGGCGTGTGCCACCACACCCAGCTTGATTTGTGAAATTTCAATGGCATGCAGTTAGGAGGAAAACCCCAGAAACATCACTGGAAAAAGAAATGTAATGTTCTGTTCTGGTTTTCTTCTTCTTCCTGAAGAGCCTCCAAAGGCCTTGAGGCTCTGACCTCAGGAAGACTGGAGCCCAAAGCCCGCCTTTCCTGCCTGCCTTCTGAAGTCTGGCCTCCAGGGGGCGCTGGCCACCTACGGCCTTGCAGTGAGTGGCTGGGTCAGCTGGCTGGTGCCCAGCAGGGCAGGCCAGCAAGGAAACCTGTCCTTTCCCGCAGGGCCCAGAGCTGGGGCCTGGAATGGGCCCAAGGAGATTTCACAGTGGGTCCTGCCAGGCACCTGGCCTGTGGCAGAGGAAACCGGCAGGTTGGCTCGCCCTGAGACCACAGCCCAAAGGGCCTGCACGGTCCGTACCTTGCACCCCTCGCACGCATGGACGCCGTAGTGGAAGCCTGATGCCTTGTCCCCGCACACCCGGCACTCCATGTTGAGGCTGCCGCCCGAGACCCCATCACAGCCCATCTGCAGCTGGTCCAGCAGCGAGGGTGGAGAGGCGCCCTGGGGGAGGTCTGTGGACACAGGACGGAGTCAGCGTCACACTCTGCCGGTCAGGAAGCACCTGAGCCACGGGCCTGTGCAGAACCCGAAGACCCGCTTCTTCACCTGCACGTGCAGTTAAGGACGGCTTCTCTGGGAGGACGTGCAAAGGCCCGGAGTGTCCCCTGCCTGGCACAGGACTCGGGCGCACCAGAGCCTTCCTGGACCAGCCTCTGCCGGCGCACAGGGAGTGGGGCACGGCCGTGCTCCGGGCGGGGCGGAGTCTCCAGGTGGCCCTTTGGAGGCGCCCCTCGTGGGCCCCCACGGCTGGTGCGGCCGCTCTGGGAACTGCAGAGCTCTATGGAGCCACCCGTGGCCCTCCCGACGGTCCCCGAGCAGACTGCGGAGATGCCGAAACAAGTCTCGCCAGAGCCTCACGTTCACTCCCACGGAACTCCGGTGTGGGCACAAACAGCGCAGGTATTGTCACGGTGATGGAGCTCTGTGCTGCTTCCCCAAGATTTTCTACTCCCGCACAGCTGTCAGAGCCATGGTTTGGGGAAGGAAGGCGGGCGGTGTGGCCGCAGCTTTGGGCAGCCGTGCATCTCCCCCGAAACTCAGGAATGAAACCATGGGGACCTCGCTGGGTCTTGGCCTCTGACCCCCACTCCCGCCACACTGGCCTAATCCCTGCTCTCTCACGGAAGGGAGTGACCCCAGGAACCAGCTGCTCAAGGAGAAGCACCTGAGACCCCAGCCTGGCCGCAGCAAAAGGGCCCAGCGGGCTGCTCCCCTCTTGGCTGGTGAGATTTAGGGGCGACACAAGTTCTAAAATGGCCAGTCCCATCCCAGCACCTCAGTGCCCATCTTCAGTCATTCCAAGGGGTGTAACCATCCCCTCAGTCCCCGAGAGGGACAGTGGGCCCCTCAATCTCTCGGTGAAGCAGGTGTGGTCTTCTCAGTTGCCTCTGTTGCTGCTCGACAGCGCACCTGTGTGTGTTTGTGGCTGGGCGCCACCCACTAGACGTCAGGGCCACAGGGCAGGGCACCACTGTGCAGGTGCTGGGCACATGGCGGGCTCAGCAGCTCGGGAGTCTGAGGACCTCACGCTGCCCCTGGGTCCTGGCCTCAGCAGTGCCAGCTGGGACCTGCTGCCCTGGAGGCATGGGAATGGGGACAGTAGAACTGCCAGGAGCCGTGTGGGAGGTGGTGAGTGAAGATGCCACAAAAGCCCTTTGTGGAGGCCGCTCGGATGCTGACGGCCCTGCCGCCTTTGTGCACTGTCGCAGACTCCCGTCCCTCACCACGTTCCCACTGGACCCAAGCGCCCAGCCCCACCTATGTCTCATCCACAATGACCAAGCAGCAGGATGAGTCACATCTTTCTTTAGCCCCTCCTCCTCCTCCTCCCTGTGGGGCAGGAATCTGGTCACTGGGTCACTGCTGGCCCTGTGTATGGCAGTGCCCTCCTTTTCGGTTCATAGACAGACATCTGCTGAGCACCTGCTGGGTACGGGGTGGGACAGGACCAGACACTGCCCTCAGCCAGCTGAGCAAGGAAACTACCTCGCAAGGGGGAGGGCAGGTGACTGCTCCCCTCTCTGGGGCAAAGGTGTGGACCCGAGCTGACTTCCAGGAGCTCAGGACCGCTGGGCACAGTAGGTGAGAACAGGGTTCAGGGGCCACAAGGCCCAAGCTCACAGCCCATGTCCCCCTTGTCCCAGCTGGCAGTCCTGAGGTCAAGGCCAAGTGTCCTGGGCGCAGGCCCCAGCTCTGGGCTGCTGGGCCTCAGTTTCCTCTTCTGCAAAGTGGAGATGGGAGCACATCTCGGAGAGTCCTGGTGAGAAGTGTGGAGTTAATGCAGAGGAGGCTCTTGGAGCAGGATGTGCCACACATGTAAGGACCGGCTACTGGGACAGCGCCCACTGGAGAGCGGCCAGTCTGCAGTCCCCACAGTCGCAGGGCCCACACACTCGGCAGGGAGTCCTGGGGTACCACTGCTCTCCCCTCACCTCTCCTGCCTGCTGCAGCCCCTGGCTGGGAGGGCTCTGAGCCCACGATCCCCAAACCCTGGCAGTGAATGGCCATAATTGGGGAGCAGCAGGGGCCTTGGTGAGGACCCCCTGCCTGTTTAGCGGAAGTGGAGAGCCCACAAGGCCGAAATAAGCAGGAGTGGGATGGGCAGGGCAGGCAGGGGTGTCACCCTGAGGACGGCTTGATCGAGGAGTGCATGCGAATCCGGGGTACTGACATGGCAGTAGCCTGTGGGTGGATTTTCTAAAAATAAAGCTCCTGTTTCTTCTTGTTGACCACTCGACTTAAGGGTCTGTGTCCAAATCATCACATCCTCCCCAAAGTACTGGGGGCAGAACTTCCCCTGTTCTAGGGACCAGGTTCTCAAGGCTCCCCGTGTTCTAGAACCTCTTGCCAGAGATGGGAGCGGGGGGGGGGGGCTGGGATTCTGAGAGGGGTCGTCCATGGGGGAGCGCCGGCCTGAACCCCTGGGCCTGGGGGTGCTACGCACGCCAGGGCTGTACATCTGCTTGAGTCACCTGGCCTGGCCCAGGTTCCTCGCTGGAGTGTGGCCCCCAGGCGCTCTCCGAAGGCCCAGCATTGAAGCTTGGTCCACAGGCCACGGTGAAACTGGGGGCTTGCAGAACTTTCAGGAGGTGGGGCCTCAAGGAGCTGTGTGGCCCTGCCCCTCTTCCTGTCTGCCATCCGCTGCCAGGAAGCCAGCAGCCCTCTCCACTGAGCACCCCCTAAGTGATGGTTGCCACAGGACCAGAAGCAACAGAGCCAAGTGACTGCAGTCTGGAACCCCCAAAACTGTGAGTCAAACAAACCTTTCCTCTTCTAAACTTGCTTCTCTCGGGTATTTTGTCACAGTGGTGGAAAGCTAACAGTCCTCCCACTGTGCCCCCGCCTGCCTCCCCCAGCAGGGCACGGGGAAGAGCCCACATCTGTCAGGCCCCTAAGTGCCAAGCACTGTAGTGTCTTTGTCACCTGCCTCACACTGAATGGGCTGGAAGCTACACCTGACTTACCTGTGAAGGCCATGGGTTTGCAGGAATAGAAACATCTGTTTATCGCATGCCTGTGTGCCAGGCACTCTACTGAGCATATCATACCTGTTGGACTCACACAAAACCCAAAACAGGGCCGGGGATTTAGCTCAGTGGCACCGCACCTGCCTTGCAAGCACAAAGTCCTGAGTTTGATCCCCGGTACAACAACAACAACAAAAACCCAAAACAACTCTTCAGGTAGGGTGCTTCATCCCTACTTTATAGGTAAGCAAACTGGGGTTTGGAAGGTCAAGCAATGAGCTCATGGTGGTGGCCGTGATGGTTTTATGTGTCAACTTGGCTGGGCCGGGGTACCCAGTTTTTGCTTCCAGCACTAGCCTGGATTTTGCAAGGAAGTTATTTTCTAGATGTGGTTAACGTTTACATCAGATTTGGGGTTACCCCTTCATAACATGAGAGGGCCTCATCCAACAGGTGAAGACTTTACAAATAAAGACTGAGCGCCCTCCCTGCAGACAGAGGGGACCCTGACTCCACACAGCCTGCCGGTCTGAGCTGGGACACAACTTCCCTGGGCCTCTGCCCTGCAGAAGCCGGACTGCACCCCCATGGCCGTGGGAGCTAAGTCCGTAAACCACACATCTCTCCACACACAGCCCCGACTGGTTTTGTTTTCTCTGGTGAACCCCAAGACAAGAGCAGAACGGGGGTCAAAACCTAGAACCACACAATTCCTGGAGCTGGGCTCTTGTCTACTGCGCTCCACAACTACCTACGCATGTGCTTACACTGCCCAGCACGATGCTGTCACTATACACAAGGCCGCCGAGGACGATAGCAGGTCACGGCCCCAATGTTCGGACTCTGTAAACAGTGGCCCTGTCACTCCGGGGTGATATATCAGTTTTGCCATCTTTGATTGCAAGTTCAGCAAACAGACACTGTTGACCTTATTCCACATGTCATGTGCGGCTGAGCTCTCCTGCGCATCCAGTCTCACACCAGCAGGACAGGGTCGCTGGGAGGGGCCGATCTTGTTTACTTGGCTGGCAGAGTCCACAGGCAAACAGGCCCCCATCAGCTCCTGAAGTCAAGGTGAATTCTGCAGGACTCGGAGGTGGGTATGGAGGAGCCCCTGCCTCTGCCGCCCTGTCTGCTGGGCCCGTGGGTGCCCTGTTCCCTGTTGCACAGCACCGTGCCTGGCCCTACCTGAACACCCCGAGGACTTGCTGAGGGAGAGGGGTGCTGAGACCAGGAGGAAAGACACTGTATCTTCCTCTTCCTCACCGAAGCAGGAGGTAACAAGGATGGGAGTGGCATGTGGGCCTGGCTACAGACGGCCCCGTCGCTACATAGCCGGGGGACCCTGGAGTGAGTTCCTGGCAGCCTCAGTTTCCTCACTGCTGCAAGCTAATGGCGAGGCCTGTCTTCCTGCCTCACAGGCTGAGGATGCTTCGTAGGTGCCGAGCTCAGTACCAGTATGCAGAGTAGGTGCAGAATGGCAGGGATTTTGTGGTTTGTTTCTTTTCTCCCAATTACTTGGGACTGAACTTAAGGGCTTCACACTGAGCTGTATCTCCAGCCCTTTTTTATTTTTTTTGGTACTGGGGATTGAACTCGGGTCCTTGTGCTTGTGCAGCAGGCGGCGAAACCACTGAGCTAAATCCCCGGCCCTCCAGCCCTTTTTTAAAAAATTTGAGACAGGGTTTTGGTAAGTTGTTAAGTTGCCCAGGCTGGGTTCAAACCTGTAATCCTCCTGCCTCAGCCCCCCAGAGTGCTGGGATTACAGGTGTGCACCACAGCTGGCTTGTTTTGGGTTCTTCATGGGTCCCTGAGGGGACTCTGGGGCCAATGTCACAGACTCCTGGGGGCACAGCGGGAGCCAGCAGATGCCGAGACCTGCAGCAGGTCAGATATACCATCTCCTCTCACCTTGCTGGGCCTCTAATTGTGAGGAGCCTCAGACGGAGGGGTGAAAGTAGTGGTGAGGACCGTGGCTCATGGCGGGAGACCGGGCTTCTGCCTGGTCTATGTGATCTCAAAGCCCTCCTGCCCCCAACACAGGAAGAAGCCCTGTAACTCCAGGACCCTTACCTGCCAGCTCCCTTGAAAAATGTTGAACAATTTATTTTAATCTTCTGAAGACAAGCAGCACAAGTGCTTTTCTAGTGAGGAAAGCACTGCAGCCTTGCTGAGAAAGGTACACGGCATCTCGTGACAGGGCCTCCTTCCGGGACTCTCTGCCCTGAACCCCGCAGCCCTGGCCTACTCTGCATCCCTTGCTGGGATACCCAGGAGATTCCCACTCTGTTGGAACTCGGCCCCTCTGTGTGCATCCAGACCTATCTTACCTCTTTTTTTTTTTTTTTTTTGTTCTGGGGATTGAACTCGGGACCTTGCGTTTTCAAGACAGGCGCCGCAACAGTTTTTTTTTTTTTTTTGGTACTGGGGATTGAACTCGGGACCTTGCGTTTTCAAGACAGGCGCCGGAACCACTGAGCTAAATCCCCAGCCCTTACCTTACCTCTTTTAGTGACCATGGTGGTGCCGGATGGCGCTGGGGAGGCTTTCTAACCAATTCCCTGCAGAAGGCACCTTCCCCTTTCTGCTCATGAGTAGTGGTGCAGTAAACACGCTGCTGGGGATGCTTCTGTGCCCAGGGAACCAGTGCTCACACAGGGTGCCTTCCTAGAGGGCACTGTCTGGCCACCCTTCGGGCTGCAGGCCAGCCCTTGCCTCCTGGCCAACACTGACCATGGTCCCCTCCAATGTGGCAGCTCAGTGACACCTCATCTTAAAACGCCTTCTCTGAACACTGGTGGGACTGAGAAAGTTTTGTGTTTTCTGGCCACTTACACTTGTCTGACTGGGATCTGCCTTGCCTGTTTTAATTTTCTGTTAGGTGGCTTGCCTTGTAGAATCTGTGAGAACTTTGTATGTACTGTGACTTTAACCAACGGTGACTCCCATTTCCGTTACGGAGCAGGAAGTCCTCCTACCTCCACTTCCTCTCATATGCTCTGTAGAGCCCATACAGCGATACATGGACGACACCATATGAGTGGCTAGGCAGATCCTGCTGCAGACATTTCCCCATGGCCTAAATCCCACCAGCAAAGCTGCCCCAGATGCCACAGCCACATCTGCCTCGTGGACTTTGCTTCCAGCCTCTGCATATGAACACACACAGGCCTGGCAGTGAGGTCACACATCCCATACCCTTCTCTTCCTTGACACTGTCCTGGCATCCCTGGCTCACGGTTAGTCCCTGTGCCTTCCCTCTGCCTTCTGGCCCAAGTTCAGAATGTGCTGCCGCTGTGTGAACTCTCACTCCTGGGGAGCCTTTACTCTCTTCTGAGAAAGGCTGGCTCCCAAAGTCACCCAGCCAGCAGCTGGCAGACAGCATGGACTGCTCTGGGCTTGGGGGTGCTGCCTATGGCCTCACCTCACACCATGCCACCTCTGGTGTCTGAAAGACTGACAGACCACTCTCCCTTCACGCAGCCTACGCTGTGCCCTGAAGAGGAAGAACTGTGCTTCCACATTCAAGGCTATGTGGCTCAAAGACACAGCCTCTCTTGGGTGTGGGCCCGGCAGGAGCCTCCTCTACCTCCACAGCCTGCCTTTGTCAGGCCGACTGTTCAAATGGAAAACAGCAGCAAGATCGGGTGACAAGGGGGTCCCCTTCCACAGGCCCAAGTGCCCCTGAAGGAGGGAAGTAAGGCTCAGTGGGGTGTGCAGATCCCACCCAGGAGAGGAGAGAGGCTGGCAGAAAGCTGGGGGGGGGGGGGGGGGACATGGGCAGCATGCTCTGGGTGTCCCTGAAGGTGGACAGGGCTGGTGTAAAGACATGACAGAGAGGATCGTTTACACCGCACTGCCAGGGGGTAAACAGAGGAGAACCCACAAGTGAGACAAGGGAAGCTGAGATGATTGGCTGCCAGGAACAACACTGATTACAGCCATCCCTTCTCATGCTTAGCACTCAGCCTACTCACAATGCAGGCAACTCTGCCGACTCTAACTAGCACCAGATCAACAGAGTCGCGTGTTTCCACCCAGCATAACAATCGCAGGTACGGGGGAGCCTTCCAGGCACTGTTAATGCTGATGGTCTCGGATGCTGCGTGGCAGCAGTGGGGGGTGATGATGACAATGACATGCGTTACATGTCCCTCTCGCTTAGTTCTTACAAACCCAGGTCCACACTGCCTACCACCCCTGTCTGCTTTCCAGACAGAAGGGGTAGAGTTTGTGCCAGGCCCTGCAGCTCTAGTGCGTGGCGGGGCAGGGCAGGGCGGGAGTCCAGGCTGCCCGGCTCCAGTCCTTGCCCTTGCTCTGCTGTTCTGCACCCCGAACAATGCTCTGCCCCCCTCACCTGTGTAGCTGCTGGAGGGAAGCGCAGGCTCTGATCCCCCATTGAGCTCTGGGGCTCCTTCGGCCTCTGCCACTTCCTCTTTCTCCTCTTCCCGGACCTCAGGGGTCTCCTCCTGTGGCTGCTCCATGGCTGGTCTCCCCTCGGAGCCACGCCTGCAGGCCTGGTCATAGCTCTGGCATCATCTGGGTCTGTGAGCAGATGGACCTCTACAGTGCAGTTCCTGTCGGCCTGGGGCGAGGGAAGACAGGAAGACGTTATAGGAGGCAGCGACAGAGCTGTCGAGAGCAGGAGGGACACCGCCATGGAAGCAGCTCTCTCAGCTCCTTCCTCAGTCCCTGCTAGTGCATCAGAGTCCCCTGCCCTACCCTCCTTGCCCACCTGCCTCCCGCAGGAGGTTGGTGGGGTGACAGCAGTGGTCATTAACCAGACTGAGCGACCCCTGGGCCACCCTTCCTGCCCCCTCTGTAGGGTCCTGCTCTCTGAGTCTCTGGAGCGCTGGGTTTCCCAACGCTCCAGCCTCCCTGGCGATCCAAAATGAGTTCGCCTCCCAATCCCCATGCTGACCCTAGACTCAGGACACAAATCATTGCTCTTCTGACCTGCTGCTCTTGAAGGGCGGGTCTCATCCTTCCTGTGCTGGGGTGTGGGGAAAAGACACGAACTCTTGCTGTGCCTGCCTCCTGTTCACAGCAGCCCTGCAGCCAGGCCCTTGGCAGAGGAGCTGAGAGGTGACCCATGGCCCCCTTACCCAGGAGGAGACAGCGCCAGCCATGGGCAAGTCAAGCCCCCCCCCACCAATGCCATAGGCGGAGGTGGCAGATGAGGAGGCGCTGTGGGAGGGAGGAGCCAGGAGGAAGAGCCCCACAGCCAGGAGCCTGGGCAGGGGCAGGACAGGGATCCTTCCTCCTCCTTTAGGACCCATGTCTATCTCCCCACTCACTGGAGCCAGAACGTGGGGATGATCGGAGACTTCTCTCTCCCTGGCTCTACTCCAGGGTTGACATCTTGGCTGTACACTGGAATCATGGAGGCATTTAAAAAAGTATGAATGTCTAGCCAGGCATGTGGTGCACGCCTGAAAACCCAGCCGCTGGGAGGCTGAAGTAACAGGATGGAAAGTTAAAGCCCAGCCTGGGCAACTTAGTGACTTAGCAAAACCCTGTTTTAAAATAAAAAAAATTTAAAAAGGACTGAGGATATAGCTCAGTGCAAAGGCCCTGAGTTCAATCTCTAGCACTGAGGGGAAAAAGAAAAAGAAATTAAAATATATATACATATATCTATATGGATGTCTTGGTCTATCCCTAGAGATTCCAGTTTGAATGATTTGGGAGCAGAGTGGGCGCTTTTTATTTTTTTTAAATTTTTTAATTTTTTTGGTACCGGGGATCAAACTCAGGTCCTTGCGCTTGCGCAGCAGGTGGCAAAACCACTGAGCTAAATCCCTGGCCCAAGATTTTTATTTTTTAATTCTCCTGGAGACTAAGGTACAGCCAAGCTTGAGAACCACCACTCCACAGTGCAGCAGCTCCGCCGAGTGGTAAGTGGCTCCCCACAACACATCCAACTCCACTCCCTCACCTGGACCCCCAATAACCTCCTCCCAGTCTCCTGCAGACAGCCCGGGACACCGGGCCTCTGGTCTAAGAGGCCGGGGGCGGGGGATCTGCACATCTGGGAAGGGTTGTTGATGTGACGGCCACAGAAAGGGAGCGGGCCCTGAGGAGAGAGCAGCTTGTCCAGGGAAGAAAAAGGAAGAGGCACCAGGCAGGGGTGGGAGGCCTGGGCTGGCCTGGCGTCTGTGCAGCCGTGCCAGCGTCTCACATGCTGTGGGGGTGCAGGGCGACCAAATGACACAGGGCTGGTGACTGCGAGGCCACCAGAGAACCCGGGAGACAAATGTTGAGAGGGAGACCTGGACTCGGAAGAGTAGCAGAGGCAGGAAGGTGGGACAGCAGGAAGACGGGGGAGACTCATGTGGGGGCAAATACGCCACGACAATGCAAGTACAAGAAGCTAGCTGGGGAGGTGGCGAGGCTGCAGAGGACTGAGGAGCAGAGGAGCCAAGGAAGCTGTGCGTGGCTATTTCTCTTTTTCTGTGGTACTGAGGAAAGAACCTGGCACCTTGCACATTCTAGGCAAGCACTCAACCCCTGCCCAGAAGCTGTGGACAGAGGGGAGGACAGTGGAGAAAGACAGGGTAGACTCAGGGGAAGCTGAGCAGGAGGACAGATGAGCGGGGATGAAGAAAACACAGCAGCACGGGGTGGGGAAGCTCACACAGAACGGCCCGCCTTTCAGTTAGTAAAGCAGGAGGGACAAGTGTCTTCTCTGAGTAAAAGATGAGTCTCGATGAAAGCAAAGAAGCTGCTTGCCGGTGCTTTGGCAAACAGGACAGGGAATTAGCTGGAGAGGAATAAAAAGAATCATGTAAAGCTACAGTTCGCTGCCTGCCTCCAAGCGCAAGGTCCCAAGTTCGATCCCCGGTACCAAAAAAAAAGCTACAGTAATTAAGATGGAAGGGCACTGGCACATGAACAATCAATGAGAACGGAGAGGCGATACAATAGATGCAGACACATGCGACTTTAATAAGTTAGAAAGACACACTTCGAATCTAAGGGAAAAGACGAATTTTTCAATAAATGGTATGGGACCCTGAGTCGTCACCGGAAAAATTAAGTTGGATCCCTACCTCTTACCTTTCAGATCTTATACCAAGACAAGGTTTAAATGGATCAACTATTTCAAGTTGAAACAAACAACAAGAAGTTGTATAAAAATATGAATAAAAGTAGTCTTGGAGTAAAAAAAAGCTAACCACAACACTAAACCCATACAACTGTTTATGGAAACAGACTATGGATAAAAGAGTTAACAAATTTGATTGTATAAAAATATGAACTTTCTGCAAAGTTCATAACTTTGTAAGTAAAACCATTGTAAGAAGAAATCCCAAATACTCTGAGAAAAATATTTACAACTTTCATCAGACAAAAGGCTAATTTCCCTAAAATAGTTCATACAAGTTAATAAGTAGAAGATTAGCAACCCAAGAGAAAAATCGGCCCTGATATGAAAATAAAATTTACAGAAAAGTTTTTGTTGTTGGTTTTTTGAGACAGGGTGTTGCTGTGTAGTTCAGGCTGGCCTTGGACTTGCTTGCTGTGTAGCGCAGGCTGGCTTCCATCTGTGCCCTCAGCATTTCCTGTGCTGGGATTAGAAGTGTGCACTACCACACATTTGGGTCTCAAACATACAATAAGATGCTCAAGATTAAAATGAAAATAAAAAAAAGAAAACAACACGGAAACGCCTTCCTTACACTTAAAACATGCTAACATGTTAGGGACGTAGCTCAGTGGTAGGGAACTGGCCTAGTGTGTGTAAGTCCCTGGGTTCCATCCCAAGCATTATAAAAAACAAACAAAACAAAACACAACATCAGCCATGCAAACACTGACACAGAGCACGAGGGGAAACACGTCCTTATACTTCCTCGGTAGAAAGGTAAATGGGTACAGCCTCTACAGAGGGTAACTTGCCCAATCTACCTAAATAAGTGCATATACTCTGACCCACTTCTAAAATGACGAAAGCAACGGTGTAAGGTTATTTGTTATAGTATTATTTGACTAGTAAGGGATGGGGAAGAAGCTAAATGTTCATTAGTAGGGGACTTACTAAACACACTGTGACATGGAAATCTATGCAGCCACAGACAAAAAATGAAGTTGCACATGGGCTGATATGGAGGTATCTGTATGGTTTATTAATTAAAAGTGAACAGAACCATTTGCAGAATGAAGTGAAGAGCTAACAAGATGAGTGAAGCTGTATTTGCTTCTACCTGGGTAAGACAGAGCCAGTGAAGACACAGGGGATACTGACTCTCAGGGAGGGGCCAACTGTCCAGGTCACTCAGGAGAGACGTTTTTTACTGGTTTGTTTTTTTTTTAGGTACCAGGGATCGAACTCGGGTCCTTGTGCTTGCGAGGCAGGTGGTGGAACCACTGAGCTAAATCCCTGGCCTCTTTTACTGTATCTTTTGAACCTTTTAAATTCAGAACTACAGGGGCATTACTTTTTCTAAAAAATAATTAAATTGGAATAAAATAAGGTAAAACTTACAAATAAGGTGGAAGATAAGAGGGCATGATCACCATTCAAGTGCTCAAATCTTAGCTTTTAGAAGCTACCTAGAGATGCTGGCTAACTTTTGATTAAAGGTCAGTCAAGTATTTGGGGAAAATTCAAGTAACCACTAAGATACCATAAATAGAGGAACTTTCGAATCATGATAGAGTGGGATAGCTCAGGAGAGTCTCACAGACAAGGAGGGGGTGGAACTGTAAGCAACGTGGGATCCAGGACTGGGTCCTGCAGTGGGAAAACTGCTGCTCTGCATCGCCTGCTTAGTCCAGTGTTCAGTTACGTAAGATGTCACTGGAAGGGGAAGCTGGGTGAAGGGTCTATGGAACTCTAAGATCTCTGAAACTTTTCTATAACAGATCTCTCTTTTTTTAAAGCTTTACAAAGAAACCAATCTGGCCTCCTGACTTCTCTTGAGCAGTGGGCAGATCCGGCTGCTGGCTGCCCAACCACACGGCCAGGGGCCTCTCCCCAGACCTGGGCAGTGGCTGCCCACTCCGGGCTCCTCTACTTCATGCTTTGGCACTGCACTGCAGGGATGGAGTGTTTGGTTAGCCCCGATGCTGACCACTCACCCCCGGGGTTAAACCTGGGAAGCTTGCCCCCCGGGGCTGCCCACAAGGCAGGCATTCCCACTGGTCTCCCAGGTGGGTTCTCTCTCTTAGGGAGTGCCAGGCTTTGGGTCAGCCATGTGCCTGGGAAAACAACCCACTCCCAAGCTCTGCTGCAGCTACAGTGTGCATGAGACACAATCCAGGCCAATGATATATAAACAGCAGTCTACTGCGAAGGCTCCTGAGAAAGCTATGCTTTCCTAATAAAGACAGATTTCTGTCCTTCCCTGCTTCCTGCTTGGCTTCGGAATGCTGTGCCTGGAGGGGCAGCGGCTACCCTAGCATCAGGAGAGGACAGGTGAAGAGGTGAGCAGAAGGTGAGAAGGAGCCAGGGCCCTGGACCCTCATGGAGGTGCGGCACTGGCCCTGAAATGCCCACCTCCAGAGCATGTGTCAGGCGAAAAAGGAAGCTTCCGTTTTACCAGGCGCTGTTAGCTGGATTTCTGCAGCACATAACACTGA